AACAAATGTTGATTTAAAATTCATACAAGAGCAAGCCTCTGCATGTGATTACACCTATTGGGAGAATAATGACTGTACCTTAGATGACAGAGATGGCTTATACAAAATCTTAAGGGTTTGATTGCCCTCCCATATTCCCTGATGCCAGTCCTTGCCCGACATTTTCACTGTGTGAGTCATGTCGGACAAAGAGGGGTAATAGGGGCAATAAAATCAAGATTTGTAATTGAGAAAACATCACATGCAGTAAAAGCATATTAGCAACCTGTCTAACATGTGCACGAACTAATGTAGGTAGCTCAAAAGCAAAACATCAGCATTTACCACAACCAGATTTTCCATTTCATACATTATGACTCCATCTGCAGTAACCAAATTATTTCCATTTGAAATAAGACTATTTCCAACACCATGGTCAGCTTCCAGAGGGGCACCGCTAGTAGAAGGTGATCTATATTGCATTGTCCACTGATGTTCACAACCTGGTAGAAAAACTGAATAATAACTATCAGAAAGTTTGTCTCTCTCAGCCTTTCCCCTCCACAGTTCCACCAGTGGAGACAAGGAGATGCATGTTGGTGAAGTCGCTAAAACCAAGGACACTCGGGGAGGCCGCGCGTTTTCCAGCCCCCAGACTGTACTGGCAGTGACGAAGAACCAGCATCCTCACAGACGGACAACCTCAGTGGATTCATGCCAGCAGGGTTAAGACCAGCCCAATCGGACCATCTCAGGCGTCGGATCAAGCAGATGACATCTCCGGCGGGCCAACGCCAGGATCCAATGTACATACACACACACACAATCACTGATTAACACACAACGCCTGAAAGAACAACAACAAGGTACTCAAACATCCAGCAGGAACAGAAAGCCGGAAGTACCACATGATGTCTAACCTGATAAAGCCAGACTCATTCCATCCTGATAATGGAGAAAATGAAATGCCCATTGTCATCATACGACGCTTATTCTGTGTCTCTCGAACCTGGGACCAGGCCAGAAGACGACTGAAGAACTGTTTTTTCTTATATATTTTCTTATATATTTAGGTTATCTATCATATCTATCGCATTAACCTTAGGATTTTTCTTTGCTATTTTGTATTGTAAACTGCAACCATGTTCACATTTCTGCAGGTCATATTTTGCTGACGATACCTCATGCTCTATTTTGCAAGACACCTACTTAATGCACTCCTCACGCTCCCTAAAATCAGTAAATGACAACATAGACGCCACTAATAAACCCTTTTATGCGCCTTCTAGAGCAGGAGCTAACGCCTGGTATGAAAATGCCAGAACAGCCGCTCGTGATTTAGGAAACAGTAACTGTTATGTCTGTTCAAAGGCTAATCCAGAACAGGTAATAGTAGGATACCCCATATCCGGTTTCCCCCTCACTGAGGGACTAGAGAAAATCGCGGAGATAATGCTCTCTTTAAAGACACTTTACAGTTGACTCTGAGCCCTCTCGACTGCCTACTTAGACACACACACACACACGAACTAACCCTGAGACTCCATTAGGCGAATTATTGAAGTTATCTAATGACACCGCAGGGACCTGCGCCCCAATGAAACGCCCTAAGAATAGGTTAAAGCCCTCACTGCCCTTAGGACAGATCCCTTTCGATTTTAATAATAGTATGATATGTCTGCACAGACTAAAGTTAACTGGCCCAGACACCCACATAGATTATACAAAGGATAACTATACATTCTTCTCTGACTCCCCAGGTGCACGCTGTAATGAGACATGGCTAGCTGTCTCTATGGCTGAAGTTGTATCATATCTGGAGGAACACACACACAGTTCAAGTTCGAGCAGAGACTCGATCATTGTTCCCCCAGACGGTGTATTAAATGACACTGACTGGGGGGAGTTAGTTAAATCACACATGGTCACGCGCCTAACTAGACCAATCCCTAATGCTTATTGGATGTGCAATAATACTCTTAGATTAGCTCTACCTGTTAATTGGACCGGTACCTGTGGTCTAGTGACCGTTGATGTATGCTGTACTTTCATTCCCAATAACACCGCCCCTAACGGTTCATTCACACAAGCTATGAATAGACTTGAAGCATTGAAGATAGAACTAACTGCCAATACAGGCCACGGTCAGTGGCTAGATAAGTGGCTACAGGACACGTTTGGAAAATGGAAGAAACTAATTGTAGCCTTTGTAACCGTTGCAGCATGTTTTTGATGATTATTGTCTGTTGTGTGATACCATGTATACGCTCTCAGGATTTTTTGATATTAAGCTTGCTCGAAGGACTAGTTACATTTATGATTTGTTTTATGTTTATGATTTGTCTTTATATTATGTTATTACATTCTGTCTTTATACTATGTTATCATTTCATGATAAAAGGGGGGAACTGTTGTGATATTTTGATACCATGGTAGCATTTACAGGATATTGTTTTATAGTGATATCATACATGAAACTGTTACTCAATAAGGCCCATTTACTAGTTGTTTTTCTCTTTCTCTCTGACCCATGTATTAATGTGTAAGAATCACAGGATGGTACCTCAAGGTTGAAAACACCACAGAGATCACTCCCTTACTCCCATCCTCCCTTTTTCTTTATCTCTTAGAAAAAGGCTTGTTAAAGGCCAGGTGGTTCGTTTCAGAATTCACTAATGAAAGAACTCTGTATTTTATGTCTAGGAGTGTATTTTGCTGGGATGATCATAAATTGTAGCTGAACTGATAAACTACACACAGGATACTTCTTTGCTCACAAGGCAGGAAGACGTTTCCTTATTTGGTCTGTACCGGTTTGAACTGAGAATCTGCTGACACACGAACCTTTTTTTCCTCTATATAAGCTGTTATGTACTAAATAAACCTTTGAGTCGATTGGGAAGGCAACCTAAAGCAGTCTCTGTTTTCTTGTTCTCCCAAGCTGCTCCCGAGCTCTTACTAACACGCTGAATGGCATACCTGAGTGTTACTTTAAATAATTAGGAATCTTAGAAGGAAAGGACAGAACTCTGCTTATCGCTCGTGCCTTGGAGGGAAAACCGGGATGGACATTTTTTTCCTTCAGCGCACACACAGGCACTCACGTGCTCGTGCGTACACACACAGACACAGAGTTTGCAGCACACCGTGGGGGTTTTATGATGGGGTCGCTGGCACCTCTCCCCTTCTAGAAGATGCTTAAATGAAGATGAATGAAGGTGAATAAAGGTTTTGTGAAAATGACTACTGAGTCCGGTGCCGTCTCTGGATGCTCGAGGAATAAAAAGAACCGGGTGACTGATTTCATAACACATTGTAGACAGAGAGAATGTTGTAGTTATGGTGTAGCCAGCCTATTGTATCCACCTGTTGTGTGTTATTGTGACATTGTTCAGCAGTGGTGATTAAGGCCTGTGTACATTGTTGTACATGTGTGTGCAGTGTCTTGCTTGATTGCAATGCTGCTCTGATTTGTTGTAGAATTATATGAATAAATAAAGGTCCCTGAAAATGTTATATCAAACAGTTGCGTTTCTGTTGAAGCTCCTAACATTCGAGGTGACTGGGAAACAGCTCTGAACCCGCACAACCATCATTCATTTTCTTGACTACTTATACAAATTAGGGTTTCTAGACCATATCCCAGCTGATACTGGGCTGAGGTGTGTTGCACCCTGGGCACAATACCAGAGCTGTAGAGTGTTTAAAGTCGAGTCCTTGAGGCAGCTCTTGTTGTGATTTGGTGCTCTATAAATGAAAATAAACTGAACTAACACAGAGACATGTTTATGGACTGTGTGGGACGGCCAGAGTACCCAGAGGAGGCACAACAAACTACAACAAAAAATGAATCTGGGTATGTTACACCCAACACTGATACCAACTGTCAGCTGTTTTCTTGAGAACGCTCTTTATTGTTTTGAAGGAAGAAAAACAAAACCACCGTCAGTTAGAATAACTCTCTTTGTTCACATTTATGTTTTTGGTTTGTAAGTATCCCTGCTTTGCATCCTGGCTTATTAGAACAGTGTGATGCTCTTAGCAGTGGTCTGATGTTCATACCTTGGTCAATGTAGAAAGAAGTGGTGCTAAAAAAAAAGTACACATAAACAACAGCACATGATGTGCTACACTGAGTCATTATTTCATTAATAACACCACAGAGGCATTGTGTGTTACATTTAAATTTCACTGGAATAAGGAAAGGTGTAGTCAATAATCCTGTTAAATAACTGAGACTACAATATTCACCAGTACTGATTGTGAATTTTGTTATGACTGATTGGTCTACATGAAGTGATAAGTAGTGAAAAAATGTAACCTATTCTTTACTAATCAGGTTTTTAGACTGAAGTGCACATAATCACCCCCACCCCCTCTGAGAAGTGGGTCATCACAAAATCCATTGGTTTTTGTTTTCAATTCTATGATTGCCCCTTCACCAACTGTCCAGTCTTTCAAGAAGCACACACACACACACACACACACACACACACACACACACACACACACACACACACACACCGTGCCATAATACAGCCGCATCTATGTTTTTCCTGTGGCAGGATTTTAGATTTAATATTAGCGATTTTGTGTCTGTGGCTGCTGATGGGGGACTTGTTTGTGCACTTATCACAGCGCCTGCTGTCCATTTAATCTCTCCTTTGTGTTGTTGGTGTATGCGTGTGCGTGTGTTAGTCCTATAACGAGAATACGGGTGCACATACACATATAACAAACATACGTTACTGTGTCAGTGTGTCACATGAAAGGATTAAACCCTCAGCTTATGTAGCATCCAGCCTCAGTGACAATAACGTTCAGCTGCAAGTATTTTAACACGTGTGGGTGCTGCTCTGTGCTGCTCTATCAATTTTATCACGATAAAGAGCGATCATGACGCTCGGCGTTCAGGGGGCGGGGACTGGGGAGGGCTTGCAGGTGCAGAAGGAATACAATACGCTTGTAGGGTGATTGACAGCCCTGTTGTCCAATCACTGTTATTTTTATTGCGATAAGTCTGCTGTTGGACGCTGGCATCAGAGTTTAATAGTACTGAGAAATATGTCGCTCTTTGAGAGTCTGTTACCCAGTAATACTATGGATTTGTGAGAAGAACACGTAATTATTGTGGGATTACGTTTATTTGGCGGCCTCTCGGCGTTGCACGGGCCTGGATAAGTTACAAACCGAGCAGCCTCTTCTACGAACAGTTGGTCAAGCTAGCCGCCTGTAGTAAAATGACGGAAGACGTATCGGTGGGCTGCTAGCTGATTATTTATCTTTGAATTAGCCAGGAACTGGTACAGCTAGCTACCAAGACAAGACCCCATCACCGCTGAAAGGCTGGAGTATGGATTTCTGACGGATACAACGACTTTTCTGTCATTCTAACCGCAGGAAGAAAAAACATGACCAACAGTGAAACATCGGGTTTACTGTGTTTGGAACTGAACCTCGCAGGTGAGATGAATTGTTAGCTAGCTGCTAGCCAGGGTTAAGCAGTACAGACCTAGGTAGCTCACGGTTAGCTCATGTTAATGCTTACTCGGGCAGCAGCGTTATACTGAGCTTTAGCAGTCGGTGGAGTGCCTGTATGAATGGTATTTTTAGATGTCCACATAGCTCATAGTAGCAAGGCAGAGCCCGTGGCTGTGGCCGTACTCTCGCGTCCTGTGGCTCGGCTTCGTTTTCTCCATCCCACTCATTTCATGAAGATAGGCGTGTAAGCTAGCTATCACCGGAATTGAAATCTTAGCGAAATTTTCTCCAATCCCTTTGACGTTAGCACCATTCTCGGTGGCTAATGCTCTGCGTCCCCACCCCGGCTTCAGTGTGGGCTGTGTGTCGCTCACTCGGGGGCTCAGAACATTCCGTCAGCTTCTGCTTCCTGAGTATTGGCAGTGAAGCCCTGACACCACTGCACGGTGTCTCTGAAAGGATGGTAATGATAACGACCACCATGTTAACACTGGCAGCTTCACAGAGCCGTTTAGCGTGACGCCCTGTTCGTCTGTAAAGACCAGCCTGGCAGGGCCGAGTCTGGTCCGCTGCCCGCTTCCTTCATGTAAATCGGGCAGCCGCCTGGCTCTGCGGGATCAGCCGAACATCCCCGCGCTGCACTTGACACGTTACTGGGTTTTTTCCTTTTTCAACGCGATTAAAATGACAATTCACAGCCAGTGTTCGGAGATTATAATCTTTGAGTAAAAGCCATCCTTTTTCCACTTTGCATATATCAAGGCTCTGTCTGCTGCTGGGACTGCAGCAGGATATACACACCCAGTATCTGTGTGTGCATAGGTGCTGACAGCGCTGTAGGCTGCTTCAGATGGAAGGTGGTGCCATTGTGCTTGTAGGTTTTCTTGAAGGGTGGAGATTCTGCCTGATGGGAGCATGAATCCACTGTGAAGTACTGACCAGCTTACATAAGACCCGTTGCTGAAAAGAGGAGAAACTTGTTAGAATTGTACAGGATCTGTCTGTGGGTTATATGAAGCATTTCCATCTGTGTTTGCACCATTTTGCTCACAAAAATGTAAAGAAATGAGTGGTGGCTCAAGAATTTAGCGAAATACTCCTGGTGCTTTTGGATCCAACAGTTTTGAATGCTCCCTCAGGGTGACCACATACTGCAGTCCTGACATGTGCACTTTCATTTTATTTATTTTTTTTATAACTTTGTTCGATCAAAATGATGTTGTTTTTTCCCTGCCAATTAATCTCTAATAGAAACGGACTGATCCAGGCTTTAAGTGATCTGTTAAGTTTTCATAGCTAACGTTTGTTCACAGCAGAGTTATCGTAGTTTTATCATTTCTAGTTAGTTTTCAGACTTTTTGTTTTGAATTCAGTTTGGTTTTAGTTTCCAGAGTGGATTGTCTTATTTCCTCTTAGTTTTTATTGTTTCAAGATGTTTAGTTTCAGTTAGTTTTAGTCTTTTTAATCATTACTGTATGGAGGCCATGTGTCAGAGGAAAGTTTTTAAGAAAATTAGTATAGATGGTACAGTAAAAACCTGATTTTTGAAAGCAGATGACTCACGGTGTAATTGTAGACATCGAGAGTCTCAAACATGTCTGTCAACTCGTTGGGTAAGTTTATTTGTTTTATTAACAAACTAACAGATACAAATACTAAGGATATTTCCTCTAGACATTTAGTCTTTTTTTTTTTTTTTTGTAAGTTTAGAAAACCATTTCAGTTTCTTTTTTTAAATCAAGTCTGGTTTTTATATAACTAAAATGTTTTTCACCTCCAGTAACTGGTTCCTCGTACCTTGATGTGAGAATTATAAAACATTGTCAGTCTGACGGACATTGAAATATAACTCATTCAGGCCTAGGTGGACCCTGGCAGACTGGCCGGCTTTACTCAGTTTCCAGAAATCCGGATTTACTCTGGTAACCACTGGGCATCTCGTATGGGAGCTGTAGTCTGCTACAAAGCCTACAACTCATCAACCCACATGCTTCAACCTGACGTCCACCCTAAAGGTCAGCTTAAAGCCAAGAACCCACACAAAAGACTGAGTGTGGCAGTGAGGGCACAGTCCCACTGAGGCAGTAAGCTAACAACTGTATGTGGAGATGCCCAACGAGCTGCTGCACTGATGTCCTCCACAGAAACACTCAGGAAGGGTCCGTGAGATCGACATTCCTCCGGTGTGACGTGCACGCAGGAAGTTGTAGTCCTGGCACTCGTATGCCATCACAGTGGCCTCCACCAGCACCTAATGTGCCAGTCAGTGATGTGGCATAAGCTTCCTTCATGAGATGAGTCCAGGATACAGAGCTGGTTCCCTTTTCCTAAACCTCTTAGTCCTACTCCCCGTTGAGGGGATTCCCACTTTCCCGGTCTGTGCACCAGGAAGTGTGTTGTGCCCAATGAGGGTAGGTCCTTGCTGCTCCACATGATCAGACTGTAAGCTAACCTGTGCAGTGTCACAGAGCGAGCGCGTCCCACTGTTGAGTCTGTCCTAACCAAGGCATGACTATATTTCAGGAATGGCAGGAAATGCCTGTAAACCAAAAAAACTGCCGTGAGCTCCAAGTGGCAGCAGCTTTTACGAGTGTGATGGAGGAGCTGGTTGAAGAGGGGATCAAATTCAGCCTCAGCATCTTAAACCATGTCCCTATACTAGCTTTCCCAGTTTGTTGCTGGGCTCTGCTGCAGTATCAGAAAGTCAGGGATTGGCCTGTGACGCTGCCAGTCAACGTTCTGCCAGCACACACACATGCAGGCAGTGCCGAGGGGGCGACGGTCTGTCCCCAAGACCCTTATTTTTAGATTTTGACTGTTCTCATCAAATTACCAGTAACACTTTTTACTTAGTTAACAAAAGTCACATACATAAACTAACCTGTAAAGCTACAGAGGTTTGGCCTGTGAGGTAGAATTACTCTTTGGTAGCACAGTCTGACAGCTTATCACAAGACGAAGCATCGTCAGGCCCTGTGTGATGGACCGAGCAGTGAAGGAAACTTAGGCACAGGTTAAAGTCCAAAAAAATGATTTTTTATTTAACCCTAAAAACATAATTGGTTAACTCATGCAAAAAGAATCAAAATCTTGGGCCCATAAAAGAGGTCAAAATAACAAAACTCTACTCAAAGTTGACAACACAACTGATAACTCAAACAAACTGACCTAACTTAAGGAGACAAAGGAGAAACTTAAATAGTGGCTGATCAGCCCACAAAAACAGGAGAAGGGCTAAAACACACAAAACCTAACTAAACATAATGAACTCCAATCCCCCCCCATGGTCCTGAGTTATGGCGTGAACCAATTTGTAGTCTCCTTTAAAGCTCGCTCCGCCCCTTTTCCACGTCTTGGCTCCTAATCAAGGGACTGGAACAGCTGCAACTACGGTAACGCAGAAAACAAAAAGATCAATCATACATAACAGTGTAAACTAAAATGTGCGCACTTATTTTAGAAGGCAGCGTTATGTGGATATGTGAATTAACTCTAAACCAAAACCAGTTATTTATTGTCCTGTAAATTAATTCCTATATTTAAAGAAAGACATGTGAATGCAAGGTTACTTATAAGCCTCCACACTAACATGGTGGGTATTACCACTGTGTGGCTGTAGGTGCAGCCATCACACCCTGGAAGCACCAACTGCAGTCCGTGGGCAAACTTTGAAGTTGACCATAAAATGATTTTCTGTTTTTGCCATTATACTTTCCATTTGAAGTTTCAGTGTACACTTAAACACGGAGAGTCACACTCTGTCAGATTAGTTCCCTCATTGTCTTTTTCATAGATTTTTACACTTGCAGCATAAGATGGACATTCTTGCTGCCTTCTCCCATCCAAATGCAGGATTACTTCCCAACTCCCTGAATTGGTTCTTGGTCCCCTGGGAAAATCCCTGCTGTGAAACATAAAACATGTCTTCTCATTATTTGATTTGTAAGCAGCACTGCTGATCAGAACAGTCTGAGGAGGTAGTGTTTCCAGCACCACTGACTGCAGCACCTCGAGTTACTGTTTTCTTAATAAAAGTGAATGCAGTCAGTAATTCCACAGCAGCAGCGTTTGATCCTATTGATCAGTGACAGCTGATCAGTGAATGCAGCTCCCAAAGGCTGTGGAAAATAATAGTTTCTCTTCCTGTTCTTACCACTATAGGAGCATCCTGACCAACCGTGGGACTGGATTCAGCTGTTTGTGACTCCGGACAGATTCTACTGTTCCAGTGTTTCATCTGTTTACCCACCAGACGAGGAAACGTGTTTGCATCCTGAGGAATACTCAGTACACAGCTGGCCTTTGGAACCTCTATTTCCTACATATTAAAGGCACCACTTTTCCCTTCTTGTTGAGGTTGTTTTTAGGGCACGGCTCTGGAGAGACTGTAACCTCCACGGGATTGTTGTGGGGAGGGTGTTATCAATGCCTCAGTGCTCTGCTAGGGAAGGAAGTGGAGGGACGTCCCTGGAGGAGAGGGCACAAAAACACAAAACTGCCTGAAGCTGGGATGCCCGACATTTCTGTTGCATAACTGACACCCATGAAACCATCGGAGGAACAGAGTAGGTCCGTGTTGCCATGGCTGGCTGATGTGATACCACTACCTGTTTACACATAGCCCGGGCCTCCCTGTTTGGCTCTTTCTCAACACTTCCAATACTAATGAAAAGGATACTAATGGATGGTCTACTGGATTTTCCCCCAGTTGTTTTGGAAAGTGTTACCCACTCACAAACTGCCTCCTGTCTTGCGATCACATCTACAGTGCAGCTTGCAGGTGTGGTGGTTTGAATCGGCCACCAGCGGGGTCTAGGGATGCCCCGACACAAGAAAACCAGGCTACTCCATTGGCCCGCTTACAGACTGCTGTTTCTAATACAAGTCCTGGACTGAAGGCCAGTCGGGGTTGATGCATTTTTTTAAATTTAAAGCCTGTCCTCGGATCGTTCCCCTGACCTGAGAACATTTTGCTAGTGTGGACGAGCTTGTTGCTGATGTGAAGGACTCGGCTTTTAAAAAACACAAAGCAGTGACATTTTCATCCAGTGCTTTATTTTTCATTCACACTTTTCTTTTTAAGCCTCATCACATTTCTCACTGCTTGCTACCCAAACAGCTCCGCCTCTGCGCTCACCCTTCTCCTATTTGAGGACCAATCAGGCTGCGAGGTTCTGTTACAATTTGAGTTTTTTCACAGCACCAAAGTACTAAATAGTTTTTGTTTTTCACAATTAGCCATTCTCCATTTAAAACTGTACTCTTATCATTTTGCCAATTTTTTTTGTTTTGTTTTGTTGACGTTTGCGGACCAGTTGTTCTGGGACCTTTGGGAAAGACCGCCTTCTGTCGTATTCATACTTGACTGACACGTTGGAATAAACAGAATAGAACTTTAGCGTGTTTGCTCGTGGCACACGGTGGATCAGGCACCTTCCTCTTTACGTTCAGTGGCTTATTTGTGCAGCCTGTCTTCCCACCTGTTTTTTTTTTTGTTTTTTTTGTTTGTTTTTAGGCAGACGGGGAAACGAGGCTTTTACAGCACAGACCTGTAAGCTTACTTTAATCTGTCACAGTTGATCAGGATTGACCTAAGAACCTGAGATAACAAGCATCCAGCCCTCCTCCCATCTGAGCGTGCAGTAAAGCATTTTTCTCTTTTCCATCTCAGAAGTGAAACCTTCCAACTATTATCGACAGTCCCTGCACACCAAACCCTCTCTGTACACGTAAGGGAACGTTTAAGGCTGATGATAAATTACTTTGGATAGCAGTTAGTGGACACACACATCACTACTAACAGGAAGTGATGCCAGGCAGTAGTAGTAAGAGCGGAGGGCGGGGTCCATCCTCGTCCCCCCTCCCTCATGCTGTAGTCCCGTCCAGCAGACCCCTGCGACCTTCACGCTACGTTCCTGTGTCAGCAGCAGCGTTCTTCCTCGTCGGCTCCACCACGCTCTTCTTCTGTTTCACGTGAGTGCAAACACTGCGCACACACACAGTTCATGGGCTGTGATCATTTCCATTGTTTTATTGCTCCGTTTGGTTATTTTACAGTCAGCGTTGTATGTTTGGGTAGCTCAGACCTTCCCAAAGTGTGGGGCCCGCCCCCTAGGGGGGGCGCAGAGACATTGCAAGGGGGGGGCGTGGCATGAAAGGGGAAAAAAAAACCCAACAATGCTTGGACACTGCTAGCACGGGGCTCCCACACAAACACAAAGCAGGAGATGAAGCGTCGCTGAATATGTTTCCAAACCAACTTCATTCTGAGCCAAAGACTAGAAAATCTGGTGAAGCAAATCTGCCCTTTGGCTTCACCTGCACAGGTGCTGAGGTAGGTCTCCCTGCAGGTTTCCCCTTCGTCGGGAGCAGCGCTGGGCTGTTTAAACCACAGACAAACAGGATCCCACATTCTTGATCTTTAGTTCACAAACACTTGTTGTAATGACTAACTGCTCCTGACATGTTGGAGATGTTTGCTCTTTATACAGTAAAGTTACAGCTGGATACAAATAACATCAGGCTGATCCTGACACAGTTTGTTCCCCCGGTTCAAATCACAGACAAACAGGATCTCACAGCTGTTTATGTTTTTGAACACATTTTGCACAGAGAGAAAAATGTATTGATGCAATGTTGAACATTATTACACAGGAAAAAACAACCACATGTAAAACAATCACACTGTGACGCCTCTGCCTTTGTAAATGGAGGGACAGTAACTGCGTGTAAACCTGCAGATAGAGACAAAATACTGTTCATCTGGGGTCCGTTCTTCGTACCTCGCTAAGTAAGTTAGCTGGATTTGATTATTGATGATTTCGCGTGATCTTGGATCGTTCGGTTCTTCGAAGCCCATCCGGGACTTGCTGTCATAGCAACAGATCCGTAAGCGTAAACCTGCTCGGGGAGCAGGTTCACTTTATGTAAACAGGATTAGATCGCGGCCACTAAGGTATGTCCGCTTCATTTATACGAAAGCAACAGCGATATTCCACCACTGTTTCACCATAAATAAATATTATCAATGTAACTAAAGATAATGCAGCACCTGATCCATTTATTGATGTCACACAGATACATACAGGTCATTTCCTAAAAAAGGGAAATGTACTATTAACATTCTATTACATGTATGTGATTATTACAGATGTTATCCATATTTCAGAGTAGTAATTGCAAATCACTTCGTGTAATCAAGATGAGAGACCACGGCTATAAAAGCGAAGGTGGATTTGGGAAGCCTGTCGCAGCCATGTCCTGTCCGTTTACGCGACCAACCCATTGCGGAAGGTGCAAGATTGATAAGGAGAGTCCTCAGAATTCAGCGTATATTGCGGGAGAGACAGGATCCTTTAGCTCAGCGCGACAGTGTGCTCATTGAGAGATATCGATTTTCCCGTGAGGGTATTATTTACTTAACCAACTTGTTGACGAGGGGGTGCAGGACCACCACCTGTCTTTGTTTGCTCTGCCCTTTTCTTGGTTGCTGTTATAAACAAACAAACAGATTATTTCAGGGTCTCTTTCCAAGAGACGAAAAGCAATATAAGTGATAAATATTACCATTCTGTAGAATATTCTTATATTTCACTTTTACTTGTTCCCATGTTCTAGTGGGTCCTGTTGTGGCTCTAATGTGAAAGGATATAATGTAATATAATATAATATAATAAATTTACCCTACCGCCTACTGCTGTTGGCCAGAGGGGCCGATGGTGCGATATGGCAGCCTGGCTTCTGTCAGTCTGCCCCAGGGCAGCTGTGGCTACAACCGTAGCTGCCTCCACCAGTGTGTGAATGTGAGAGTGACTGAATAGTGGCATTGTAAAGCGCTTTGGGTGCCTTGAAAAGTGCTATATAAATCCAATCCATTATTATTGTTATTATTAAATTACCTACGAGTTTAATTTGTCAGCAACTTTCTGCCAGCCCTCTCTCCTTGCTTTTGCAGCCTTTGCAGTGTTCCCTTGCGTTTTAATTAAACTCTGAAACTCCTGAAATCTCTCAATCAAGAGTTCTTGCTCTGCTGCCGAAAAATACTGAGCGCACTCCTTCGACATTTTCGCCGACCAATCAAAGGGTTGCCGATCAATGTTTCTACTATCGATGCGTAGCCCCTGTTAAGCCACCCAGTGATCTCACATTACTTCATCCAGCTGTACTAATCGTCAACAACAGGTGTGTTTGGAGAACCGGAATAGAGAGCTCAAAGTTAGCGCGATGGTTTGATCTTGGATGTAGTAAGCGAGGTACGAAGAACGGACCCCTGAATATCTGCCATTCTGCAGTTCATCTCATGTAAACAATAACGTGGCCACAGCGTGACGTGGAAAAAGGCACATACCTTTGATGTTGCGTGAGAAACTCTGTATTCCTCGTCCACACGTAAACGCAAAAAAGAAGTTTTAAAAAATCTCAGTTTTCAGTGATTTGAAACGCCGTTTACGTGGACGAAACAGCTGCGTGTTCAAAATCACCCGTGTAGGTGCGGACGCAGCGTGACAGAGTTAGTAGTTTATTTTATTACTTCCTGCAGATTACTTGTATTTGCTTAATTGTTCACTAAATGTTTGAGGTGTGAAATAAACAGCAATGGAGCAAAATATGGGCGTGTGGTTGGAGGAAGGTTTTTTTGTTTTGTGGGGGGGGGCATTTTTCTTGTGAAACAAAGGGGGGCCCAGCAAAAAAAGTTTGGGAACCACTGGGGTAGCTAATGTCACTGATGCCTCTCACTTACCTGGATAAGCACAGACATGGATATCTGTCCCTGTGAGAACATTCACTGCCACTCAGAGTGTAACTGCCACAGCTAACCCTTACCCCAGTGTTTCCCATAGAAATGTATGTTACAGGTCTGTGTATGCAAAATGAGGTGCATCTAAATATATTAAGTAACAAAGGATATATTTATTATTTATCAAGTAAAAGAACAATAATCCACTGCCTGCGGACGCTCTGTAAAGAATGAGGACTGAACATTGTCTGAAGTTGCCCTTTCACATTAATACATGTTATAATTAGTGCTGTCGATAGATGAAAAAAACTTAACTAATTGATCTCAGTTTTCTGTAATTAATCGCAATTAATCACAATTACTTGATCAATACCCTGGTTGCAATTACATTTTTTCAGCTTTATATTTAAGCTTTTAAAAGACATTTATACAATATAATGAAGTAAATGCAGAATGTTAAATGCTTCAATTCAAAGAGAATAGTTTTCTTCAGTCTTTCAACACAGGTTCTTTCCTGTGAGAGTTCAGACGAGTTAAGAGAGTTAAGACGGACTTTTGAGAGAGGGAGAGGGAGGGAGGGGGAGATATATATATATATATAATATATATATATATAAAAAAAAAAAAAAAAAAATATATAATATATATATATATATACATATATATATATATATATATTTTTATTAGGGGTGCAACGATATTCGTATCGATATTGAACCGTTCGATACAGTGCTTTCGGTTCGGTACGCATATGTATCGAACAATACAACATTTGTAATTTATTTTATCAACTTTCCTTCTGACGATGCTGTCTGTGTTGAGCGCTCAGTGAATCTGCGTTCGACTACTCCGCCTAGGCTGCACTGTCGAGCGCAGATCCACTGAGCGCTCAACACAGACAGCATAGTCAGGAGGAAGAGCGCAGGGCAAGCTAGCGAGACAGAAGTTAAGCTCTCCTTGCAACATGGACCTCCCCCACCCTCATTCAGATCTGGCGTTTGGAATTATTTTGGTTTTCATGTGACGTATGACCCTGAAGGTAAGCGAGTCATGGACTAAAGTAAAACAGTATGTTGGATGTGCCATGCAATGCTTAATTACATTGGTGTGAACTAGTGTGTTAGCGCAGTTAGCTCGTTAACGTGTTGGCCGTCTAGCCCCATGCACGGGGCGATTGGCGGTAGCTCGTTAACGGAGATTTGCCGTGTTGTGGCGTTAACGTCATTTCAGATTAACGCTGACAGCACTAGTGGGAACACAACGAGTATGACTGCACATTTACGCCGACATCATCCTAGTGCAAAGACAAGTGGAAGCAGACAAAAACAACAAGCATGCATGCTACAAACTTTACCCGAGTCATTTAGACAGCCGTTAGCACAGGATTCTCCTTATGGGGACCTGATATGTTTAATATGCTGCTGAGAATATAGCCCAAAAGAAGCGTCTAGTACCAACTCCAAAACACAACAGAAGTGCTCCAGCGCTTCAACGTAATATTACTGTTTTGTGTGTGTATAAGGACCATAAATGGCACCTGTTAAGAGACATGGTTACTAGTGATGGGATTTCCGGCTCTTTTTAGAGAACCGGCTCTTTCAGCTCCGAACCGGCTCTTCAGGTTGTTCTTTGCTTTAATTTATTATTAACAATAATATAAAATTATGCACAAAAGGAATTACTAATGTAAAAAAAGTGGTTTTATTTATATATGTTTATATATAAATATATGCGGTGGCCCCTAGAGACAAAGCACGTACAAACTCCAAAACACATCCCTAGCGTTAACTGAACTTCCAAAACAGAGCTACTTAAATTACACAATTGAAAGCATGTGTGTATTGTTTGTGTATTTGTACACAAGCACTCACATATATTCAAATAATAAAAAAAATAAAAAAAAGGTTCATTTACCTGTTACTACCACACACCAGATCCGGTCGTTGGTACTTGCTGGCTTGTGTAGCCACTAGGTAACAAAAGCTCAACACTGCCCCCTAGCATCCTGGAGCACTTCTGTTGTGTTTTGCTGCGGAGTTTGTATGTGCTTTGTCTCTAGGGGCCACCGTAAATATACTTTTATTTATCCACTCTACATAAAATGTAATAAATAAATCATATAATACAAAAACCAACTATTCACATTTCAACTTTTAACTATTTAAATTTTCAGCTTTTTTCTTTTAAACAAATTTAAAGTGAAACAACACAAAACACTGCAAACCACAACACAATT